CAGGAAAATGCAATGAGCAGCAGGACATTTTTAGGACTGCGTTCCTGAACGGAGCAATGAATAATAAAAAACTGAAACAGTTAGTGGGCTTACTCCTATGGCGAAGGCACAACGTTGGTTGTATTCTAAATCTTCGTCGAAACGTGTCTCCTGCAACAAATCGATACTTGTTCGCATAAGAAACAAACGAATGAATATTCAGTATACGTCTTCATGCCTTGTGCTTTGCGGCAAGTCAGGGTCCAAAATCAGTGATCGCGTGCGAGAATAGGTGAAAGACTACAGTACGGGATCACGTGACATGGTGAAGCATGACGGGTTGCATTGCCTTGAATTGCCATGACAGCTTCAAACGATGAAGAGATCGATTGATGGGGCAGTGATGATTAGGCAATGCAAAGCTCCAAATACTTTTCTCAAGACGGTTCCTCTTAGGAGAAAGGTACTTTTCAATGGCAAATCTAGATGAAAGGCTTCAGGGCTACATCAACATTAATCCATCTATATGGAAACGTGTGATGTTGTCTAACGCTGAACAAAGATATCCTCATTGAACGGTATTTACTACAGGCAGCTGATGATCTACGTACATTGCGAATCGTTGATCTGACAGTATAATGCTGAGGCTGTCTCGGGGTCTGTCTGTAGCTAGGAATGCTATTCCCTACGTCTACAGAAATGACGAGGTTGCATCTACAGACGAGTAAATGACGAGTAGTCGCGATACGAAAGTCGAAGTCTGTTCCAATCATAAAAATTATAGTATATCGATCTGGAATGATAATCGCTACTTAGCTTAGGCTTGATGGCCTCGCCATCAATCATTTATTCAGGAACAGAAAACGCCAACGAAAGGAGCATTGCCTTCTGAACAAGTAACACCACTCTCAACAGATTGTGGAATAATACTCGGTAAATGAAACCGCTCCATATCCATTCACAATAAAGCCCTCCCAGTATACGCCAAGTTTTCACAGGTATATGCGCCACCAACTACTGCTACATGAGTTTTAGACTCATATAACAACTTAAGCATTCAACCATCATAGGCCGTTATTCCCTAAATTACATTGCATACGTCTCTGAGTCAATGTACCTAGCTGCTGGCCATGTGACGCATCCCCGAGTTGCGACGAGGAGAACTACTTACAGATATGGAGGTTAGCTGAGTCACAAACAGTCGCGGTCAGACAACGCTGAGGCCACCTCGATGTGGCAGGGTTCGTGCTCCAGAAGTTCGAACCTCAGTGGACACGTTACAACGCCCAATGAATGTCCAATGAAAATTAGGGTTAAAAAGACGACCCGTCCCTTGAAGAAAAAAGCCAGCAATGTCCCTACTGCCTTGCGTTTATCCTTCCTCAAAGGACAGAAGAGACAACTTAAGTATAATATCGGACAGAATTGGGGAACCAGTCTGTACCTTCCAGCAGGTGGCAGAAGTTCATGCACGACTATATCACGAATAAATCGGTCTCCGTACCCAGCGAGTTTCTTGACATGTTTCACGCTGGCGGTTCGGTATTTGACTGATTAGAGAAGGCTAAGAATCAAAGGCTGCCATTTCGTAAATGTGCATCGACTTTACACCTACAACTGTTGAACGTTGAACCATTTAATGGAGGATATGTCAGCGATGGCCTGAAACATCTTTAACTTTTCGAGACATGACGCTGAAAGCAGATCACTGACGTAAATAAAGAAAGTACTTAGATCTGGCTAGGAAGACGATAGGGCGCGAGAAACATAGAAAAAATCGGATTTGAGGTCAGCAAAAGCTGATCCCGCAAAATCTCTCCTGGCAGGTGAAGTCACCAAGACTGGGAGTTACGTGTACCTCCAAGTGAACAGGAAAAAGACCTTGAAGATCGCTGAACCCTATGCTTCCACGAATACAGTTAATGATGAGGAAGTGAAAGCAATCTGCTAAGTACTGTAACAGGCATTGCTACCAAAGTCCACGTCATGCAACATTTCATTAACAAAGGTCTATGGAGGAAACCATTTTTCGGTAGGTACAGCATATGAAAGTGAAATGAGCGAGGAGACTGACTGATGACCATAGCAGAAACGAAACAGCAGAAAATTTCTGGTCCAAGGACGTGGAAGACCAAAAGCGGGTGGCAAGAGATCGCGCCGAATGCGATGGTAAAGAACGAGGTCGACTTCATTATGTTCGATAGACGCCGCAGCATGTGAGACACAGCAATGATGCCACACTGTGCACCGGTACAGACCGGTGCGGATGAGACTAACCTTCGAACAGAAGATCGCGAGCAAGGTACTGTAGACGGCAAGTCCCAGACAGCGCCCAACTCCTCAATTCTATTGTCCTACCGATGATGTTTTGTGGCTTTGAGCAGCGGTCGCACGAAGGCTGAAGTCTGTCACCTAGATAGCCATGGAAAGCTGAATGCTGAGAATCTCCCATCGTCGCCACATCCCTGTCAACGGCGATTAGGCAGCAGGCAGGAGTAAGGAACGTTACAGTCGAGAGCAGAAAAGAACAGTTACTGTGGGCGGGGAACGTAGCTCGGCTCATCGACAAGAAATGGCTGCTGATGGTCGTCGATTGGTACCTTCAAGGGCGGACTAAACCGTTTCATCGCCCACTGCCACGGTGAAAAGTTTATATGGGAAATCGGGAAAGCCGTGTTTGGAGGGGAAAACTCATAACCTCTAGGAATGGCAGGCGTGTTCCGTCCGCTGCGATCCGTCTCTCATTACCGGCCAGTCCAAAAAATCCAAGTGAAGTGACGTCTCTACAAGGATAATTAAAGATGTGTGATTTAAGTGGATGATTAGGGAGTCTCGAACCAATATTATGCCAATGATAAGTTATGAATAGTGAAACACTGTTTTTGACCATTGCTGTCCTCGATATTTAGGGCATATAATCGAGATCTATGATGTCTCTCCATTGGATTTGAACAGTTTTTGATGGAACGAACGATGATGATCAAGAAAAAAACATTAGCAATATATTTACTGGCACTGTAGGTGGCCAGGAAGCCTTCATTTCAATTTGTCAATATTTAACCATCACCCTTGCCTAGTGTGCACTTAGGCATCGTCGTCGGTCGCCTTCCATCTCTCATGCTGCCGGAGTAACCATTGAGCAATTTTACTCTTCAAGATTGCACACATCCATCATTTGTTACATAGTTTTATATCTTTTGGTCTCTACCGCAGGGCTTCCGTATTCGCTACAACATTTTAATTCGATTTCACTGCAGATAACTACTCTTAGCGAAAGAGGCATTTAGCGATACTGTAAATATCCAACCTTATAAACGCCACCACTGGTAAGTAACCACGCTAAATGGTAATATGCTATTCGAGGCTTCGAAATGTTAAGCAAATCTTGGCATCAGGTTAAAAAAGAATGTGCCTCAATTAATGGTTGACATTTCGAATTCTTTGCTTAGAAACGGAAACTGGACCTCAAGCGGAAGGAAAGAAAAAATGAGTGTCAGACTTTGTAATTCCAAGAATAAATGCCATGCATGCCACCGTTCTTTCATGGGGCTGATGACAGAGGACTAATTTCTGTTGCTATGTGGTCAGAGCCAGGAACGCCTTGCTGCTTTACACTTATAAGGTTGTATCCATTATTCGATGCAAGGTGACTATCATAATATGTAGTCTCATATTTCATTCACATGAAGTGGTACTCGTTTATCTATAATTGAAGGACCAAAGACGAATGACTTCAACTTGGGTTTAAACCCACATCCTCTCGATTATCTGTTATGAGTCTGACGCTTCATCAAATGGAAAAATGGCAAATTTGCAATCTTCGGAACTTCGATTTCCATACACTCTCATGATTGGACCATTTCTGCAGCTCATCTGTGATGATCTTAATGTTGTTGTGCTGATCTCCATTTCAGTGCCATCAGTCAGCGGTACCTCATTGTAAAGGCAGAATCTACAACAATTATATGGCAAACGTAACTTGTAGGGTCTTCTTCCTTTCCCACAGAGCACTGCTCATTTGTTAACCTCAAAAGAGAGAAAGGCGAGTGTTCGAACTGGGGACTCGAACCTCTCGATTCTGTCTGACACTCTACCAACTGAGCAATTCCAGTCTATCGATTGAACGTACGAAGTGTTAGCAGTACGCCGATACAGACAGCTGACCTCAGCAAGAAGAAGCGATGCAGGTGGAAGAGACGTCTGAGGTGAATGAAGGAACAAAAGTGCATCCGACTTCGGTCTCTTGACTAAAGCCATTGGAATACTTGGAGTTTCGACGCTAAACCAGCAGTTCAGGCGATTGTTAAGAAGTGGCTCTCGGCCCGACGCGACTTCAGGAATTAAATGAGCCACCAAGGGATCGGCACCGCCTTATGAATAGCTGAAAAGTGCTTACCTCAAAACCAAAGGCGGAGGCACTCCACCCGCTGATGAAAGACGGAAAAAAGTAGTTTCGACAGAGCAACAATTTGGGAACCGTTGATTCGTGGACTCGTGTCAACTACGTGGAGGCAAAGTAACGTTTCCCGGCGCGTACCTCGAAACTCCGAGGAGCACTTTGCAAGGAAGACGAGGTCGAAGCGCCTGTTGCTTCAGTCCGCCAACAGTGGACTATGCGTTTCATCATAGAGTGACCTGTGGTGGTGGCGGCGACGAATGAAGGCCGTCTGTCCGTTCACTCGCTCGCTGCTGCCTAAGCATCATGGCGCGGCACTCGCTAGGCCGACAACCGACGGGGTCGTACGGTAAGAAGGAAAGTTTGGACATCGCGTCTGACCTTGGGTCGGTTGACCTTGGGCTACTCCCATCCATACGGCCGGTCGCTATGGACTGACCCCCTCTGTCCAGTTCTGCTGTGGCCAGAAACGTCATAACGAATCATCCGCAAACGTTGACTAGATGAATCGCGATAGGGTTGTTCGAAAGTCGATTGTCTTGCCTCAGTTGGCAGATCATCAACGAATCGATCGAAGAGAGACACATTACGACAGATTAGGGAGATAAGCAAATATGAAGTGACGTGATACGACCGATGCGCGGATATGTGCCGTTTTGGACAACGATAACGGGCCGATAATGCCGAGTCTTTGGATACGTCCATCCATCTATCAGAGCCAGTTCTGTGGACAGGTCGACAGGCAACGGAGACAGCGAGCCCGAGCCATGCGACCTCGCGGGCATGTTCATGAATTCCATTCGCCCAGGCGTGCCAGTCAATTAGACTTTTGACAGCTCTTGAATGACGCTCGACAGCTTGCAGCGTTTTCGGCCACTCTCGCGGGTCACTTTGTTCGCCACGGACAGCTGATGGCGAGGGCTGCTGACGTCAGGAAGACCGACGCCTCCCTGAGAGCAACCGGTGAGAGAAGAACCGGCGTCCACCAATGACATAACGATGACCAATTACAGGTGGAAATCTCAAGAGAGTTGCATTCGGTTTCGAAATGTCTCATGGACCGTAGCTTTAAAACCTCGCTTCCTCGGCAGCTTTCTCGATCCGCTTCTTAGAAGCATAAAACTTTTTCGTACAGCTGATGAAGCACTTGTTCATTTGCACCTGTTGCAATAGCTAAAATGGCAAATAGAGCCATTATCTGTCCCAAGGGAAGACGCTATGGTGCAAAAGTGTCACAAGACTTTGTTTGGTTTTAATGCACATGGTTATGGTAAACAGTAATTACTAATGAGTGCGAGGTATCTCCGGCGAACAAATGATGTGAGATGCATCTGGCATACGTGTGTTCAAATATCATGGTGCCGTGGCTTGCCAAAATGGACCATAGGACAGTAGAAACAAGAGAGTGGTGAAATACGCATTGAATTCTTGTCTTGTA